AGATATTTTATAGTTGAGGGTACAAAGTGAAACAACAATTATAGTTCAGAGTGATAAAGTGTAATTTACTCATTTTTATATTGCGTTATGCAAAGTATACTGTATCACGTGGGGCTGATTTTTTATTTTTTTTTTCGTTTTTGGATGGGGGATGAAATTGTAGCCCTCAATACGATGTAGGCATCCAATGGACAAAAATCAAATTGTTTATTCATTTTGAAAATTTGAGTTGTTTACAAAAATTTCATTTAGGAAATTCATAAATATAGCTGAAAAACGAGACTAGATGTTAGCGGGATAGAATTGTACAAAGTTTTTCAACGAAAATTATAAGAGTAATTTTATAGGGACCTACAAATTTTAAATAATTTGCTAACATAATGATGTGGCTTCATTATGACTTTTGAATTGGCTGCGAGCTCCATCAAACATAAGAACTTGGTATTAATTCAATGGTTGTAATGAAACCACATGATTATGTCAGATTTTTAGGTCACAATAATATTACTCTAATACATGAGTGAGAAATTCACATGGATATAATGTATTATATTTAAATATATTGTATATAATAAAATTATGACCCCCTATAGATGAGTGAGAAATCTACTTGTATATAATGTATTATATTTAAATACTAGTTATTACATGTGTATGAAGATATATAGTAATAAAAAATGATAAACAATAAACATATTTGTGATTTATATCCAAAATCAAATCACAAACATAGAAAAAAATAAAAAAATTTAAGTATCAATTTGTAGTGGGAGTGAGAGGTGGTGAGCTGCAGTGATGGTGGAAGAAAACAGTGATGGTTATAGTGGATCGTAATAATTGGGCTGACGGTGGCAGTGGTGGCGGGCGCAACGGTGACGATAGTGGCATTGGTGGTGGTGGCGACGGTGGGGGTGGTGGTGGTAGGGCGATTTCAAACACTATTTTTTTTTTAAAGTATTTATGAGAAATAATTTATAAAAGTACTTTTAAAAAATCACTCCGAACACACTCTTAAGGATTTATTTTTCTTATTAAATTTAGGGTGTTAATATTAGCCGTTAGATTAACTTTAAATTAAAATTTAAAATGATGTCAACTACGAATAGCAAAAGTCATTTTGTTTATGTTTTGAGATTTGAATTGTAAGCTACTTTATTATATAGATATGACAGATAATTTATTAAGAAGATAATTCAAGGAAAAGTGTAATACACACTGCCACCAATATGTTTTCAAAATCAGTTGGCCAAATATCTCAACTTTTTTTTAATTTAACTATATAATATGAAATTCTTTTTTTTTTTTTCTGAACAGAATATAATGTGAAATTCTTGAATGGAAACAAAAACATGGAGGCAAAGAAATTTCCAAGCAAGAGCATATGAGATAACATAGTTTCAAGCTTTCACACAGCAGCGGAGTAGCAATTTGGTGGAGGCATCTTCTGCCTTTTTTTTATTACTTAAATAAATTACATTTTGATTTTCTCGAGTCTAACCTTGATCTCACCTCACTCTTTAACTATTGAATCTCTCACATTATTCCTTAACTACTTGAATTAATTTTATATTAGCCCATATGCAAAAGTTTGTCTTCTTTTTAGATGGATAACATCCAAGTATTTGGACATAGTAAAAAACTGATTTAATTCAAAGAGGAAAAATTCAGACATCTTTCCTTCAAATTTACAGTGAAATGTAAAATTAATAACTACAATTGAAAGTAAAATATGAAAAACATAATAACTGAGGGGGCAATAAGAGCTAGAGGCTATAGTTCAAAGAATCAAAGGGTACTTTTTCTCTCTTACTTGTACTGCCGTGGGAGAGAGACCTGATCAATGTCTCCTCCTCAGTCTTTTTTTTATTTGTACAATAGGTAATGCGGTGGTGGTGGACAACACAGGTCAATTGTCTACTGAGCTTAGTCGTTTTTTAATAATATTCATTAGAAACGGGTGGAAGAAGAAAGAGAGGGAAATGAAAGCAATTGATTAACTACCTCTACTTTAAAACTCGATAGAGGAGGACTTCATTGACTTGGCCTTCTAGATTCGTGGACAAAGGCATCCTTGTCAATTTTTTTTCTCACATTAATAATATTATGCTTACCAAAATTTTAATCAAATGAATTGATATCTCCATATTCAATCAAAAATACTTTAGAGAATTATAACTAGATCTCTTGAAATTTGTGATTTAATCACTTACACTTCATGATATTTGAAATATTACACACAGATCCCTTGAAGTTTATACGAGCGTAACACTTAAACACCTGTTGTCTGTTAATATATTTGTTAATAAATTACACTCTTATCTTCTAAAGTTTGTAAACATATAATACTTAGACCTTTCAATTTTAAAATATTATAGTTAGACAAAAAATACTCCAATGAAGATATAATATCAAATATTTTAAATTTTAAAACCAAAATTAATGTTCTATTATATAATTTATTGAAATAAAATCAAAACATATTCTAGATTTAATTGAGATAATTTGGTAGTTTAATTTGGTTCTTTAAACGACCAAATTAAATCCTAGTAGATAGTATAATTGTATTTTTATTTTTAATTTTATTTCAATAAAATGTCATAATAAAACATGATTTTTAATTGTAAAATTTAAAATATTTAATATTCTATCTTTGATTGGAATATTTGTGGTCTAAATATAACATTTTAAACTTGAGAGACTTATGTATTACACGATTATAAACTTCAGGAGGTCTGAATATAATTTACAAACAGACATTGACGACAAAAATCTAAGAGAATGTTTGTATGTACCTAAGTTGTTACACGCATACAAATCTTCAGAGGTCTGTGTGTAATATTTTAAATGTCTAGAGATCTGAATGATTAAATGATAAATCTTAAAAAATTTAAATATAATTCTCCCGGAAGTGATTTGGAGTTAACAGCTCTTTAGATAATAATATTTTTTAATAAAAATTTTGGTTTGGTTGGCATTGCCTTTTTTCCCATCACCGTGTTATGTCAGTGTCACAAAAAAAGTAGGAAAAAAGTAGGAAACTCCCAAAACAAGAAAAAAGGGTGTGATTGATTGGATAAGAAATCATTCTCCACAAGTGTATTGATTGCTGCTGCTTCAAATTAAAGGAGACAATGGTCTCCCTACTCAACTAAGAAATACAGATAAGGATACAAAATAAGAGTACGATATAAAAGAATATAAATATAGGGATATTATAAAATCTCAAAAAATAAAAAATCAGTACGGTTAAGATACGTCTATAAAATATATATTTTACTATTACGTAAAGACTTGATGTCTATAATTTTTAGTAATTTTTTAACAATAATAAACAACTTTAACAATTTTTTTTTTAAAGCTATCTATCGTCTCACTAAGATACATCTACAAAATGAACGTGATTAATTAAGAAAATAAGAACCAACATTTAATTATATTGTTTGTTGAAAAAGTATAAGTTTTTCAAAACTCAATCCTCTGAATTTAATACATATACAAGTATCCTACTGTTTTTTTCCCTCTATTTGCTACTTGTTTCATATATAGCTCTGCAGATCAATTTGTCGTAATATAAGTTTTCTCCTCACAACATGCTGGCCTTTATGGGCCACCATCTTTAAGCATTTGGTGGCAATTGTCCTCTTAATCTTTATCACATTGTCTCGTGAACTTTATCAATCATTTTCACACTCCAAACTCAAATAGTTGCTGATATCGAAAATGGTCACGTATCTCACATGATGGGTCCACAAAGATATTCTTGATTTTGTACAATTATTGTCCTTTGTCTCACTTTTATTAAAGAAAATTCTTTGAACCATATAGATTGCGTGAATTGAGTAGCAAAGAATTCTAAATTACTATAAAATCAAGTGTAGAAAGAAGGGAAAATCAAGTCTAAAGAAAAGATATAGCAGACGAGCATGTGAGTGAAAATTCAAACAATTAAGTTTCAAACCTTTGTTTGTCTTTTATTATCTTCTTTTTGTTTTGCAGTTTTCACATGCCAGATAATTAGTACCCAAATCACTCTCATAATCAACCAACAGGGTCTATACAATTGACCAAGCCGACGTTCTCAAATAGAAGGTTAGGGGTCGATTCTTATCAAACACAAAGATTGATCTATTCTATCCCTCTTTGGATGTTTTACTCTACTCTCTATTAGGACCTTTGTCTTGTCTCTCTTTGGATTAGCCTTTAATACTGATATACAATTGTGTTTTAAAAAAATACTATTATAATCATCCTCTTCATTAACGAGATGACATGAATTGGCTCGGCTTATTTGCATTCATTTTCAGTATGTTAATTCTATGCCTTGAAAGTTCATGAGATAAAAAATTGCAATCCTCTTGTGGATTATTTGATAGAATTGTCAAAACCACATATATGTTTTTAGTTTTAAGTTGAAAATTTTAAACATGAAAATGATCAAGTTTTAAAAAAAGACCATTTGTACATCAATATTAGACCTTTATCACCTTGGTTGGGTTAACATGACAAGGCATAATGAAGTCACTATTAGAAAAAGATTTCGATCCCATCCAATATGATTTATCTCAAGTGTAGGCTGCTCTTCAAAAATTCAAGTGGGCCTGATTATATGTAATTGAGCTTTTCAATAATGCACATTGAGTGCTCTACTTTTGAAAAAATATTAACTGAATTCAGTGTTAAACAGTTTTTCAACTATGAATCTAAAATGTATGGCTTTGCTATAAAAACTTTCCTCGCTTGCCTTTCCTTCCTTAATATAATGAAGAAGAATTTGATATGATTTTACCTCTTTTTTTTTTTTTGTTTCGATTAAAAAATAGCAATCATGCATGTACAACATAAAACTAGTTGAGTAGTTGTTTGGTGGGACATATCTTTCGAACTTTGCCATGTTGTGGTAATATTTTCCAAATTTTGATTTTAGGGATGAGAACTCAACTGTCTTTTCATCAAAACATGTTTGCCACATGAACCTTATATTTTGCTTCAAGGAGTAAATCATGTTCGAACAAAGTGCTGATCATTCCTATACAAGTATAGACCAGAAACTTGCTCGCTTATCTCCAATACCCCCTGATTGTAACCTCTTCAGAGTGTATGATCATTTGCGCAGGATAAATGTGAAAGCATACGAACCTGAAATAATCGTTATTGGTCCATATCACCATGGGAAACCCAACCTGCAGGCGATGAAAGAACACAAATTGCGGTATTTACAAGAGTTCCTTACACAAGCGCAAGAGTCAAGTGTCGAAAGATACTACATGGCCACGAGAGACCTAAAAGATAGAGCGCGCAAATGTTATCTAGAACCAATCAGTCTTAGTGATAATGAGTTTGTGGAAATGATGCTTTTTGACGGGTGCTTTCTCCTCGAGTTTATCGTAAAATACAATTTCCATAATTTGGTAAACGAGGGTGACCCTCTCACCATGAATCAGGTTCAATTTGGCCTAATTCATGATTTATTTTTATACAAAAATCAACTTCCACTCTGTCGTAGTTCAATTATTTGACATGATCAAAACTTCATACCCACAATGCTCCATCATTAGTCTAACTCATTCTTTCTTAGCGGACTTCTTTAGTAAATCCAGACGTTTCTCCTTGGATGACAATCAAAGATGTGAACCATATACTTGGCTTGGCACATGATTGTCTGTGTTTATCAATTGCTCAGATGGTGTCTCATAGAAATGTTGGTGTTGATGATGAGGAGTGGGAGTTCATAAATTGTACCACAGAACTCCAAGAAGCCAGAATTCAGTTAAAGGAGGCAAAGGGAAGTATTAGTTTGTTGGATATTAAGTTTGATGATACATAGAATAACTTCTAAAGTATGAGCTCAGGCGCAGAGGTTAGACAAGGAGATCAGGCAAGACATGCAGAGCTCAGAGGATCGGAGCCAGAGCTCCCTCCAAACGAGACAATAACGGAAATGATAAGGGAACTGTTAGATGTTAGCTGAAACCCAATAAGCGGCCAAAAGCCATATCCAAGGCATAAAAACCTTTAACCAACCAAGATATTCTTCAAAAATCAAAGAGTAATCCACGGATGAAAGGCTAGGATCTCGGCAGAGATCCCACAGATCAAGGAACAGCTCTATAAATACTATATAATGCCTCCAATAACGGGCAGAGAAAACTTAGTTGCATGAAAGGCATATTGTTATTGACTGTCAATTTCATCAAATTATCACCAAATTGACTGTCAATTTTACCAAATTAACAATGAAATTCTTAAATTTGAAATTATCACCAAATTGATCGTTACTAACGCCCTTTATAATTTATATTTAAACATCACTTGACAAAATTATCACTTGGTATTAATTTGATGAAATTAAATTTTAATAAGTAAAATTGAAGGTGAATTTGATGTTAATTGATAAAATTGAATTTTGACATGATAAAATTAATGATCATTTTGATGAAATTAGATCTTAATAAATAAAGTTGACAACGATCTATCCCAATTATTATTTTTAAGAATATATCGCAATTATTATTATTTTTTAGAATATATCAAAATTATTATTCAGAATACATCGAAGTTATTATTTTTATATCTCTAAAATATTTGTAATCTATCATAAGATCTTGTAATCAATCGCAGGATTGCAGTAGTCCCTCCCAAATTTTTTTTGAAAAACAATACGTTTGTAATCGATCACAAGTCACTAGAGTGAAATATAGTAAAATTGTGGGCAATTTTTCCCAATTAAGGATAGATTTACCACCTCTAAGGGGTCAATTTACAACAATTATGAATTAATTTACAAGTTTTGTGGTTAATTTATGACTATTTTGATTAATATTATGACTCAATGTGCAACTACTTGATCGATCGATCAATATTACTGATCAATCACAAATCCACAAAATATAGTTATGGTGCCTCAAATGGTGGTAAAAAGTTGCCATTATTGTAGTAATTTTGCCTATTACTATAGTAAATTGTCTATTGATGTTGTAATTTTGCTCACCATTGTTGTAAATTTTGCACTGATGTTGTATTTTTTACTACTATTGTGATAATTTTTCCCACTACTCTTGTAAATTTTTCATTAATGTTGTAATTTTGTCCATTATTATTATAAATTTGTCCACTAATATTAATATTATTTCACATTTAATCCTAGGACTTGACTACGGTATCAAAAAAAAATGGTATTTTACTTTCAAATTTTATTTTTTTAATAGGATTTTTTATAATTTTTGTAGGTCATTTTATAATAAAAAAATTATTACTTTTGTGGGTGATTTATTACTTTGATAGGTGTTTTTATCGATGTTGTAGGTGTTTTTATCACTGTTATGCTATCACTTTTCTTTGGTACAAACAAAATTATCACTTTTGTAAATGGTTTACCACTTTTGTATATGGTTTACCAGTTTTGTGTGTATTTTTATTATTCTTGTGGATATTTTTATTATTATTGTGATACTATTTTTACCATTTTTCTTCGGTACCACAATAGTGATAAAAAACACTCACAACAATGATAAAAGACTATTTAATATTGTAGAAGACAAGGGAAGAAGTCAAGAAAGAAGACTTACGTGTATCACTCGCTGAAGAAGACGATCAAGACGACAACGAGGATAGATAGGTTAGGGGTTTTGGAGAAAAAACTTATTAGAGTTTTGATAGGCTTGTGAAATATTTAGGAGTAGAATTGTCATTTGTAAATATTATTAAAGATAGTTTTACTAAATGCTTTCAACTTTCAAAATTAAGTAAAAAGTCTCATATTTAATATTATAGCCTATTTTTAAGGAGAATTTAATATATTAAGATATTAAAATTTTAGTTATCAAACTAGTTTAATTAATAAGTGCCGAATGCATTTATCTTAGCATTTTTTTGGCTACCTCTGCTGCACTGAAGTTTTCAACAATGTGATTTGAGCATTGTACGCTGAATAGCAAACTTAAGACGCAGTTATTTCAACAGTCCATGGGCAATCATTTTAGTTGTTGCTAATATTATACTATTTTTACTTACTGTGGCACAAACTATATTTTTTGCTCAATCCCCATCCTTCTTTTTTTGTGAACTTCTTTTTTTTTTTTTTGTGAACTTTTTTTTTTGACTAAATATGATTTATGGAGTGATAGAATTGTCCCAATTTTAATCGATTCTTAAACCATGATTTGGATCCTACTTCCAATTCAATGTTTGTATAAGTTGTTACTGGTTGCTTTAGAAATGTCCCTTTAAATTACAATTTATCCATTGAAATATTACCTTTGTTGCACTTTACACTCCCAATTATAACATTTTTTACATTACATCATAAAATATTAATTTTATTTTATATCACTCTAATAGATAACGAATTTCAATTTTTTGACAGTAAATGCACATATGAGTGGTCTGTACTGATAATAAACAACTGCCTATTACACATGTGCATGTCAAAAAAAAAAATTCATCTATGACTTTCTTTTTCTTTAGTTACAAATTTTCTTCCTCTGACTGACCTTATTTTTCTTCCCAACAATAATTTGGTTGCAAAATAGGTAAAATAAACTGGTACTAAGCACTTAGCAGAAAGCTTATCAGGTTTTCCTTCCTCTTCTGACAGATTTTCAAGTTTGCTGTTATGTATTAGAATGATAATGAAACAAAATTGATATTTTATGATGAAATATGAGATATTTTATAGTTGAGGGTACAAAGTGAAACAACAATTATAGTTCAGAGCGATAAAGTGTAATTTACTCATTTTTATATTGCGTTATGCAAAGTATACTGTATCACGTGGGGCTGATTTTTTATTTTTTTTTTTCGTTTTTGGATGGGGATGAAATTGTAGCCCTCAATACGATGTAGGCATCCAATGGACAAAAATCAAATTGTTTATTCATTTTGAAAATTTGAGTTGTTTACAAAAATTTCATTTAGGAAATTCATAAATATAGCTGAAAAACGAGACTAGATGTTAGCGGGATAGATTTGTACAAAGTTTTTCAACGAAAATTATAAGAGTAATTTTATAGGGACCTACAAATTTTAAATAATTTGCTAACATAATGATGTGGCTTCATTATGACTTTTGAATTGGCTGCGAGCTTCATCAAACATAAGAACTTGGTATTAATTCAATGGTTGTAATGAAACCACATTATTATGTCAGATTTTTAGGTCACAATAATATTACTCTAATACATGAGTGAGAAATTCATTTTTATATAATGTATTATATTTAAATATATTGTATATAATAAAATTATGACCCACTATAGATGAGTGAGAAATCCACTTATATATAATGTATTATATTTAAATACTAGTTATTACATGTGTATGAAGATATATAATAATAAAAAATGATAAACAATAAACATATTTGTGATTTATATCCAAAATCAAATCACAAACATAGAAAAAAAAATAAAAAAATTTAAGTATCAATTTATAGTGGGAGTGAGAGGTGGTGAGCTGCAGTGGTGGTGGAAGGAAACAGTGATGGTTATAGTGGATCGTAATAATTGGGCTGACGGTGGCAGTGGTGGCGGGCGCAACGGTGACGATAGTGGCATTGGTGGTGGTGGCGACGGTGGGGGGGGGGGGGGGGGTGGCGGTGGTGGTGGGGCGATTTCAAGCACTATTTTTTTTAAAGTATTTATGAGAAATAATTTATAAAAGTACTTTTAAAAAATCACTCCGAACACACTCTTAAGGATTTATTTTTCTTATTAAATTTAGGGTGTTAATATTAGCCGTTAGATTAACTTTAAATTAAAATTTAAAATGATTTCAACTACGAATAGCAAAAGTCATTTTGTTTATGTTTTGAGATTTGAATTGTAAGCTACTTTATTATATAGATATGACAGATAATTTATTAAGAAGAGAATTCAAGGAAAAGTGTAATACACACTGCCACCAATATGTTTTCAAAATCAGTTGGCCAAATATCTCAACTTTTTTTTAATTTAACTATATAATATGAAATTCTTTTTTTTTTTTTCTGAACAGAATATAATGTGAAATTCTTGAATGGAAACAAAAACATAGAGGCAAAGAAATTTCCAAGCAAGAGTATTGAGATAACATAGTTTCAAGCTTTCACACAGCAGCGGAGTAGCAATTTGGTGGAGATATCTTCTGCCTTTTTTTTATTACTTAAATAAATTACATTTTAATTTTCTCGAGTCTAACCTTGATCTCACCTCACTCTTTAACTATTGAATCTCTCACATTATTCCTTAACTACTTGAATTAATTTTATATTAGCCCATATGCAAAAGTTTGTCTTCTTTTTAGATGGATAACATCCAAGTATTTGGACATAGTAAAAAACTGATTTAATTCAAAGAGAAAAAATTCAGACATCTTTCCTTCAAATTTACAGTGAAATGTAAAATTAATAACTACAATTGAAAGTAAAATATGAAAAACATAATAACTGAGGGGGCAATAAGAGCTAGAGGCTATAGTTCAAAGAATCAAAGGGTACTTTTTCTCTCTTACTTGTACTGCCGTGGGAGAGAGACCTGATCAATGTCTCCTCCTCAGTCTTTTCTTTATTTGTACAGTAGGTAATGCGGTGGTGGTGGACAACACAGGTCAATTGTCTACTGAGCTTTGTCGTTTTTTAATAATATTCATTAGAAACGGGTGGAAGAAGAAAGAGAGGGAAATGAAAGCAATTGATTAACTACCTCTACTTTAAAACTCGATAGAGGAGGACTTCATTGACTTGGCCTTCTAGATTCGTGGACAAAGGCATCCTTGTCAATTTTTTTCTCACATTAATAATATTATGCTTACC